GAGAGCTGCTGCTGAGAGCTGCTGTTGAACCGGCAGTGCTGTGGAGCAGGCAGGGAGGCAGCTCAGCAGGAGAGGTTGCTGAGGTGCTTGGGAGGCAAGAGCTCTTTGGTGCTGTCACGCTGCTGAGGCCCCTGGTCATTTTTTCCATGAGCCTGGTGGGACAGGCCTGCTGCAGTTGGCAGGGGAAGCTGGTTTTTGGCCTTTGTGTTCTTGGCTGACGTGTCTGTCGTTTTGCTTCACCATTTTCTGAGGCTCTGAGCCTTGAAAGGACAGCCCTGGAACAGCTTATAAAGAACTGGTCCCCAATGCCAGACTTCGTTGCATTTTGTGCAAAATAATAAAAACTGTCTGCTGCCTTTCCTAGGTCTGGGCTCACTTCAGTTCATGAGAATTCAGCTGAAGCACAGGGATGTGACAGGATTGCAAAAATGTCATCCAAAATGCATGACATCTGGAAGCTGGACTGTCAGTGAAACTGACTAACATCACCTAAATATGAGGATCTATTTGTTATGAATGTAGGGGGGGTGGGGAAAGTGTATCTGTTATATTTTCTAAAGCAGTTACTTTAAAAGAAAATGGAGCATTGTATGGGGAAAGCACCTATGTTTGTAGAGATATGTTGAAAGCCTTCCCTTCCAGCCCTAGTAATAATGAAAATCAGAGAACATTTTGAGACTCATGCATGTAAGACTGTAAGGCTCAAGAAGCTCTGTCAGGATAAGATATCCCAGCTATGACACAAGTGAGTGGATTGTTTGGTTTCTGTATTACCTGAGCTGCAGTGATGTTCCTTTTGGGCCTGGCAGCAGTATGGCAGGGGAGCATGGCCACTGGCTGTCTCCACAGGTCTAGCTTACGGATCTCTGCTCTACCCTAAACACTGCTACATGATCCTGCTTTTAAATAGTTCTTTCTTTCCTTCTCTGCCGTAATTTGTTACAGGCTTCTCAGAGCTGATAGAATCTAACAGTCCACCTTTCACCTCTGAAAACTGTTGTCATCTGCTGAAGTCCTTCATTGACATTGCACAATGAAGGCATTTACCTTTGAAGTCTGCATGCCTGTCTGCCTTCCACTTGGATAACAAATGTATCTAGTGTATGTATGTTTTGTGTATAAATAAGGAGATAAACTGTATGATACTCCTCAGGGTACACTGTATGCACATGAGAATCAGAGGCATTTCAGTGCAATAAAGGATTTTCTGATGGTTTTGGAATATCTGAGATTGAAGTATAGCTTGGACATTGATAATGAAAAGAATTCATTGAAGTGTTTTATCTAATCTCCCCATTTCATGACATGAAACAAGCTCTTACTAATAGTACTTATCTAATAAACTGCACTCTTTTTCTGTGAAACTCTGTATTGTCCAAAGTAGGGGAGACAGTTGTGGTTTTAACTGGGCATCTGTATGGTCAGCACTGTCTGCGTAGTTTGAAATTGTGGGTTTTTTTTAGGAAGTGTTTCCCAGAGACTTCATGTGGGTGGCACTTGTTGTCTTTTGAGCCTTGCATCTATTAATCATACACTGATAAAAACTAGAAAGCAAGTTATTTAAAATGATAGTCCTCACTGGCATTTGGTCTCCTTTAGGTCTATTTATTGCTAGCTCGGGTAGAGTTGAGCTACTGTGAGGAGTTGCAGGCTGTGTGTTCACAGAAGAGCATGCAGTGGTGTCTGTGCAGAGTTGGCTTTGTTAGGATTTACTGCTTCTATCTCTTCTGTATTTGTATTCATTGAGCATTTGCAGGTAGTTGCTTACATTTAAAGAATTACATTTCAAGATACCATTTAAGGCTTTTTTTTTTTTTTTTTTTTTTTTTAATCTGCATGCTATATTGTACATGATAAATACAAGGAAAGCACTGGAGATTTAAGAGGATGATAGGTTTGAGTCAATCACTTGAGCTTCAACTTAGTAATGCAAATCTGGTTTTAAGTGACCTTATTGATGTTTGCTCAAAGTAGCTTCCTTTTGGTACAAATGACTGAGCTTTGTTGCAGCGATTGTACAGGTAATGTACTGTCCCTTTAGGGATTGCCTTTGTATCCCTGATGCAACCTCTCTTTGCTTTAACAGAGAGCGCCTGCAGGAATGCCTAGAGCTAAGATAGATCTCCTGTGCCTCATTTGATCATCTGTCAGCAAAGAAGCCAGAGGATAGGGCAGGGAAAAACATGTGCCCCCTTACTCTGACGCAGCCCATGGAAACTTGAGGGGTTGACTATTGGTGAAGGGTGTTCAAGTGGAGAGCTTGGTACCAGAGAGTGAGGGACACCACAGTGTGTCCCAAAGGTGACTTCACCATGAGGAGAGGTGGCAGGTGACTGTGCCAAGTGTAGGGTGCGAGGGGCTGGCATTGTGCAACAAATAGTGCCATCTCCTGGGAGGAGCCGGAACGATGACCTTGTGGTCAGCGCTACAACACCTGGTTTTTAAAGTGGTGGGGTTGGTTTTCGCTTGGGGTTGGGTGGGGTTTTTTGTATCTAATCAGTGCTTTAAAAATTAAAGCACCAGAAGTCGAAATGTTAATTTCGAACAGAATTTCATTAACAGATTTTTATTATTATTATTTTATTATTATTAACAGAAGTGTTAATGTCTAGAAATGCAAGTTCACATCTCGCGTCTCTGATTTTTTTTTGCTAATACAGTTTTTAATGGAAAAATTTAAGCTGTATTTTAGGTTTTGTTTAAAAGAAGAAAAGTTTATCAACTACTAGAGAGTAGTCTAGAGAAGTAAATCTTAAAAACAAGAGTTAAGGTCTTGGTCTTTGATTAAGTCCACTGTTATTTCCATAAACATACTTCATAAAGCCAAGTAATTGCAGCATCTTTTCTAATAGAAAGCAGTAGTGACCTATAGGAAAATGTTAAAGTAAGAATGATTACTTGGACTCGTATCTCCTTTTCTTGACCATGTCATAAGAGTAAAAATATTTTCCATCTTAAAATTATTATCCTATAAATAGTTATATTGGGAAATATTCACTGTGGTGCAAAATCTGGGATTAGGGTTACTGAAATTATCCTAGCAAGTGGAGTGTAATATTCAGCTTTTACTGAAAGTCATTAATGGCGTCGCTCAATCACCTGACAGTTTTATTTGGAGGAACTGAGCAATTTTAGTAACATCAATGGAACTATATGGGAGATGCAACTGACATTGTGAGGTTTTCTTGTTACACACTTCCAAATAAATACATGAATGCAAACAAAAAGCAAATAACAAAGTACAACTTACAAGGTGGGGGAAGTGACTAATCAATGTGTTAAAAAAAAACTTTATTGCTAAAATAATTTTGATGAGGTATATTCAGAATGGTGAGAATTTGTGAGCTCTGGATAGAGAAATAGATTTGGAATTGGTTTTATTGTGTCATGATTGCTTAGGTAATTTACTGGCAAAGATGCAATTTAAAAATAGTTTATTAAAAAAAGAAGATAAAATTATTTTGCATGTAAATTATAAATCTGTTCTGTGTCATGTTAAGATTGCTAGAATTGGCACATTTTGTGTTCCAAAGGGTCTATGGGACTGTTGTGTCTGACATTTCTGGATGGTACAGTACTTAACTGTACAATTAATTTCTAGTTATGATGGTAATTGAATGTGTATTTCCTTTTTCAGTATTAGTGCCAGCTTTCCCTGTCATACAGTATTTAACATACAAAGAAAAGGTCTAACTTTCAGTATATTCTGAATGTTTACTGTGTGATAATCTTGGTGTTTATGCAAGTCCTCACTATTACAGTTGTGACTTTCAATTTCTGACATTTGAAAGGAATTCAGTGTTGACTTATCTGACTATGTTGATTTTGAGTTGCTGATAAAAATCAGCTGCTAAAGGTTCCCTTTGCAAGGGGCCATGACCCTTGAGCATACCACACAATAAGTACTGTATTTGCTTAGATGAAATTTGAAAACTATTTTTGTCTTGGACTTTAGTAAATTACTGAAGTTTTAATTGCATAGTTTGGGAGTAAAGTATGTATAACAAGCTCATTAACTTGGAAAATACTGTTCTAAATACCTGGAAAATACTGTGTGATTAGATAAGTAAAAATGTAAGAAATCCAGTTTAGCAGAGGAAGAATGCATTGCGCTCACAGAAAAGCTGCCCCTCTATGCATCTGACTTAGGAATTTCAGCAGTGGCATTCCATACAGGAGGCAAGGAGATATCCTAACATTAAAGCAGACCATCCCTCTTGGATTTCCTATATCATAATCACGTTTTCTGCTTGATAGAGTATACACTAAACAAATGGTAGTGTTTTTGGAAAGGCAGACGAGAAAATCTGTGGTCTTAAAAATGAAATTATATTGTTACAAATGTTTTCATTATTAACTGAAAAAGGGAGCATTTTTCTACTGAACACTATTTAATATTTATGCAACCTGAACGGTACCAATGGAGTAGGTAACTTCAGGGGGAAGTAGTTTTCATTGAAGCAAAACCAAGAGTAATATATGCTGTGTAAATAGTAGTTATATCCTCATCAGAATACATCTACGTATGCCAGAATTAGGAATTCAGCCTCAGGGCAGTTGTCAATATCCTGTCTGGAAAGCAAAGATTGTTGTTTATTTTTTTGTTTGCCTCACCCCCCAGTCATCAGTATCGACTACAGTGGAGCAAATTACAATAAATTGCAGTATTTATAAATAAATAATATTTGTGATGTCTAATCTTCCTCTGGCCCAATAATTTCTACCAAACACAACTTACATTTCAGCCTTAACTTTTATAATTTACGTAATGAACCTTTTCCAAAACTCTTCTAATATATTTGTCAACGAGACTTAATGATAGTCAACAGGCAATTTCCACTTAATTTTATGGAAAAGTTGACAAAGCTTGCTGCTTTTGTGACAAATGGTAAGCAGGTATTTTGCTTGGTTAGAACTTGAAAATTTTATTCTAGGTCACTTAGATCTTGTGCACTAGTGAGTTCATAATCCTGACTTCCTTCCCATTTTTTCATACGCAGGCAGAAGGAGAAGACAGCCTTAAAAAGATGCAGCTGATGGAGCTTGCAATTCTGAATGGCACCTACAGAGATGCCAACATCAAATCACGTAAGCATGTCATGAGCTCAAGGGTCAATGCCATAGAAGTGTGTGCAGGTTTTGAATCTTAAAGCTACCTTTGGAAAATGTACAGTGGCAATTTATTTGGAGAATGGAAGGCAGTAAGGGCCCAACAAAACTGTAGGTAGCTGTCGCAAAAGATTTTGGGGGATAAGTTATGTCAGTTTGCGGGGTTTCTTAATCTTGTTTCTTGTCCCCGTTACTTTTTTAACAGTATGTATGGGTTGGAATATTTACAAATATCTAGTATAAAAAACCTCAACCCTCAAGCCAGATTTTTCTATTTTATGTTCCTTTTTTCCTTAAAGCATATAAAGGACAGTAGACTCCTTTTCATTTTTTAGAGATTTAATTTTAAAATGTTGCAGATGCTCAGGATACTGTGAATACATTTTTCTGTATTATATTCCTTCCTTTCATCTTGCTTGCATGTGTACCCCCAATGTTGTGTTTTACCAACAATTCATCAACTGATTTCACAGCTGAGTTCACATGGATCAGTGATGTAATGAGCCGTTTTTACGATTACTTCCATTACATTTGTGTGAAAATGCTTTTGCAAACGCATGTATGCACAAGTTTACACTTGAAAATTAATTATACGCACCTACTAATGAAAGCATATACCTATTATGTGTGATACAAATTTTCTTCAGTTGAAAATCTAATTTCTCCTCCTAAAAATATAGTTGCTGACACTGTTCAAAAGTACATTTTTTGCTGTAGCTGTGATACAGATGTCAAATGTAAGCACAGTTAAATCAGTCTTTTCACCAAGGACCTATTGATATTTGCAAATTTGTTTCTCCACACAGTCCCCATTTCAATGTTGAATATGTTTAAAGGTTGGAATGCAGTTAGGTCAAACTGAGAGTGCTTACACAAGTGTAATTATTCTGATTTGAAAAGAGACATAAGCAAGGGCTTTTACCACTGCAATGGTAATAGTAAATCTTTCAGCCCTAATGAACACTATGATATTTAAAGCTAGACGAGTTTTAAATATATGGTAGTCTCTAAATTATTACAAATTTATGAGTAAAATAGCTTTCAGAATAGCTTAAATTGATGCAAACTTTTGCACAGGAATTTTTTTATTAATTTGAGGAATTTCTTTGTCTGGGCTGTTCCCATTGGTCTGTTTATCAGTGTAAGTGGGAAGATGGAAATCTTTATTCATTTTTTGACTAGAGATTGCCACACTGATATGCATTATTTGATAACGCAATTTCAGTCTTCGTTTTTTGATTTTCCTGGAAATTTGAAGATGTAGAAGCTGTACTGGTATATTTCTCTTTAGGAAAGGAAGTAAAAATATTTGTTTAAAAAACTAAAAATAATTTTTAAAATGTTCCAATTCTGAAATTGAATCAAATCTGAAAAACTTCAATCCATTTATCTTTCCAGGTGACCTGAAAGTAAATTATATCAATGTAGATCAACAGCAGTGCATAGAAATACATAAATTATAACCTTTTAAGATTGACTGTTACCAGCAGATGTGCTAGTGTTTAAGTTGTTCTTCTGGTGTGCCAACTGGCTTCAAATAACACTTAATGAAATATGCTAGCACCACTTCAGAAAACAAACAAAACCACCACAAACAAACAAAACACCAAACCAAAACAGAAAAACCACCTATTTTCTTTAACTTAACCGAGGCCATGGTGAACTTCTAATATGAAGGAAGTATATTACTTGGTGAAATTTTATATGGAAATAAAATTTGAGCCTGTTTTATTCATGTTAGGGTAGGACAGGACCAATTCATGTTTCTACGTCATCTTCAACTTCACTGATCCTGGAAATGAGAGTTGTGTATATGTTTAAATACAATTTTAAGATACATAAAAACTCTAGACTCATACAGCAGCTCTGCATAACTGAGTGTCTGTGGACTCTATAGATGCACTAAATTTTGTACTCTGTATTTGATTGTGACAGTATTTTCCTCGTATTTCCTGCATGCATCTCAGTCTCATGCAGTCTTGATAGCGTAAATGAAGAAATATGGTCTAAATTGAGCTTTTGTGCTGTGTAACCTGTTTGAGAAATCTACCTCACTGTTTTACAATGGCTTTTTTTATTTTGCATGTTCATACTTAATCACACTGGAAAATGGAAAGCTGTTTGCATTTGAATGGTGTGCTTGGGCACTGTGTGATCAGCGCATGTACTAATGATTTCCTTTTATTTTTCTTCTTTCCTACTTTTTCCCTTTTTTCCCATTCTTTCCACGTTTTGTACTGCTATCTCCATACTTTCCTCTGAATTTCTTTGCTTACTGTAGCAGCCCTTGCCTTTTCTCTTGCAGCAACAGCCCAGGCTCCAAGGATTATTACTGGGCCTGCGCCTGTTCTCCCACCAGCTGCCCTGCGTACTCCTACGCCAGCTGGCCCTACCATAATGCCTTTGATCAGACAAATACAAACCGCTGTCATGCCAAACGGAACTCCTCATCCCACCGCTGCAATAGTTCCACCCGGACCCGAGGCCGGTTTAATTTACACACCATATGAATACCCCTACACGCTGGCACCAGCTACATCAATCCTTGAGTACCCTATTGAACCTAGTGGTGTATTAGGTAAGACCTTTGTACGTGGATGACCGGGGAATGTATTGCTTGTGCTTCTGTTGTGTTTGCAAGGTAGAGGTTCTTGGAGCTCAAAGAAAAAGGTCTGAAGCAACAAACTTATTTCAGGAATATCAAAACTGCCTAGGAGAGCTGCTCAAATGGTGCAGCTCTTAGACATTTCAAGTGTATTTGGTATTCCTGAATGTGTGTGCTTAGGTTATAGTAATAAATTTACCGAAAAAATAAAGTCTTCATGTTTGTATGATACTAGATGGTACATACATAGGCAAGGGGAAAAAAAATAAATACAAGTTGACATCCTATTACATGTCATCTGGGCTCCTGTGAATAACAGATTAGTTTGTATCCTCTTTAACATAAATTAACATCCAGCAATTTTTGGAAGAGAGGGAGTGGAAAAGCCTTTGTACAGTTGGAGTTTTATTTAGTATGCAACTGATAGATCTCTACTCAGTGTCAGAAAGCTCTGAGTTATATTGTGAGCAGTAAATTATTTCAGTGAATGAATATAAAGCAAGCCGAGTTCCAACCAAAGGATGATAAAATTAGCAACTTTACTGATGGCTTCTTTAATATACGGTACACTGAAATGTCCATCATTCCTAATATTTCAGACAACTGACTTAGTGTGTGAAGGCAAGAATGATAAAGCAGCCGTGACAATTCAGTTAACTGGCCAATATGGAACAAGCAGTTCCAATAGTTTCTTCCTTCCCTATCCTCTACAGAATCTAAATAATCTTTTTTCTTCAGTTTGTTCTGAATTGCATATGACCTTGGTGCTGCATAATGTTGATTTTATAGGACTTTGGTCTCAGTTTGTTCAGTGGCAGTTATTGATTTACACAAATTCTAAACATCGCTAATGAACACTGGACAATAAGGTTCAAAGTCAATATTTTGTCGAAAGTATTGCAAAAAATCAGTGTTTCACGTGACAAATACTTGGTGAGTTATCTGTATTTGTGCCTGTTTCCATATTATGTACAGTAAAAAAGAAAATGTATTTCAGACTTCTGTCTTGCAGGATTAGTCAATCAGTAACAAAAATTCTAGTAGGACAAAAGTATGCAGTATGTCTGTCAGCTTATGGCTGTTATCAGTTAACCCATAGCCAAAATTCTGCGAGCATATGATAATGTTATCATTTAATAATTTCCCACAAATATGTAAATATTCTCCCTAGCTCCTCTCTACCTCCAGTCTGTGAGTCCAGTTGCGGTACATCCTGGGCTAAAGTCACAGTTAGAGAGTTCATCATAGTAACTGTTAGTGGTTAGTGGCAAGCCCCTCTCCTGAATTCAGTTAATAGCAAGTAAAGAAGTACAGCATTCCAGAGTAAAGTTTATTACAAGGCAGGGAACTTGGATTTCTCACAGGATTGTCTATAAAGAGATAGGAGGGAAAAATTAAAATTACTTCTAAAATGGCATCTGAAACCGTTGTACGCTCTTGGGCTTAACTGTGTGAGGTGTATTGCCCAAAGCAGACCTCATCAAAAAAATGTTATTTAAAGTAGGAAAAGGGAGCGGGGAAAAAAACCCACACTCCTGCTTTAGCTGCCTAGAATCAATGACTCTTAATACTTTTGCTCTAATATATGAGCAATTGTATGGAGTTAATTGCATTAAGTCTGTGTTTCATTGAGTTTTATTTTGTTCTATGCTCATTCGCATTAATAGTATTTTGTCCATTTTTGTGGTGGACCTTTAAGATACTTCAAAATAATTCTGTTAAAAATGGCAGAGAAATGCATCCCTATCAGTATTTTTGGGGATGTTGGTGTTGAGATCCAATTTTAGTTGGTGACTAACTTTCAATTCCCTTCCTTTTATCTTCAGGTATGGCTTTCCCAACGAAAGGCTAAGAATTCAAGAACGGTCTTAACTGATCCTTCATCAGATCTGAATTTTAACAAATGCTTAGTTTTCAGCAGCCTTGAAAAAAGCTTGGCCTAGCAGTCAGTGACTTACTTGCACTTTTTTTGCACATAGATTTAAAATAAAATAGTGCTATTAATTTGGATTAGGTCCTGTTATTACAGAGTAGCTGTAATTTATGAGTGTATAGTAGTATACTGACTGCTAAGTGTTCTATATAGTGTTTGCTTTACTAATCACCTAATTCATTGCAGTTCATACTTATTGACTTAAAGTTTAAAATCACAATCTGTAGGCTTGAAGAATTGCTTTAAAACTTTTTTTTTTGTGTTAGAACTGGAAGTGATCTTACGGTTAGCAAATAATTGTCAGTATTAAAGATGGCATTATTTAAAATAGTCCTGCTGCAAGAAAGGCACTTCAGTGAATATGTGACTAGTAAAGCTTAAATGTGCTTGGGTCTAATAGATTTCATGAAATACTGTAATTTTGGGATTGTAAATGAATGGATTAAACAGGTTAAGGCCAGGATGTTTAAAATAAATGCAATATTAATCTGCACAGATAAACTTCTTTTTAAGATTAAGATTTGAAACTACTGTGCCTTAACTTGTTGCTTTTCTTAAAATGAACTTTTGTAGTTAATGATCATTTAAATCCATTTTGATAAACCTGCTGTTAATGTTTTCTGTGAATGTTTTCTAACTTTGTCTTGGTAATTGCAATTTGACTAGGTGCGGTGGCTACTAAAGTTCGAAGGCACGATATGCGTGTCCATCCTTACCAAAGGATTGTGACCGCAGACCGAGGTTAGTTTAGTTCTGCAGTTCTTGTTTGTAAGAAGTGCTTTGAGTGTACATGGGATTTGCAACACCACAGCTGGTTAACCAAATACCCTGTCTTGACCCATTCATGATTTTTCTCAAAAATCTGGACAGCTTTGGGAATGCTTGCAGTTTTAAAAAAAAAATTCTAAACTTGGCTTTCCCAGCTCAATTAAATATATATACTTTGATATATTTAACAGAAATTCTATAACTGATTCAGTTTTAAAAATGAAACATCTCTCTGTATCGGGAAATGCTATGAAATCAGTGCTGCAATAATTAATTTGGTCCTGTTCCCCTCTTTCCCCCCGGTTCGTTCTTTTAATTGGTGTGGAAATATCAGATTGGTGTTGCAAAATAAAATGAATGGATGGTTGCTTAATGAGAAAGAAGTAAAGGAATAAATGCCTCCTGTCTGTGTTTGGAGAAATCTGAAGATTTAGATTCCTTTTTTTCCAATAAACTTTAGAGCCACTGTACTATATATTATGAGGAGGATGCACGTTCTCAGATACCTAACTGAATTCAGAAAGGTAAGGGCTGTGAAGATAACTTCAGAAGTTGTTTGAGTTTGGATTAGTATGGGTAGGGGAAGGGAGGGTGTTTTTGTTTTTTGTTTGGTTTTGGTTTTTTTTCCAAAATCCATTTCTTGGTATTTGCCTTTTGCTGCTAAAATGTGTAACCTGAAGGAGAAACAACTTTTTTAAGACCTGTTGGTGAGATGACATCCAATATTTGGGCATCTCTTTTTAACCCTTGAATGGAAAGTAAATCTTCATTTTTCTCCTGTTCCTCAAGTGTCATGCCTTTGGACCCCTGAATGAAGTGTTTAAGCTTATTGAGAAAACTGATATTTTCGGTTTATTGACATCAGCTAGGAAGCAGTGTGGGGGATGAATTCTTTTCCCTTCTCTGCTGCTGACTCACTGTGGTTTTCAGCAAGTCATTTAATCTCTCTGTGTATGGTTTCCCATTGGTCAAATAAGGATAATAATACTTCCCTACCTCACAGGGGTGTTGTGGGGGTTCTTGTTTTGTACAGGGCTTTGAGGATGCAAAGCATTATGTGCCAAGTATTATTATTCTGCTCTCATCCAAATCAATGTTGTGCAGGTTTCCATGATATTGTAATATTCAAAAGCCAAATTCCAGTGGCAGATCTGACATCTCCTAACATTGACTACACTTCTCACAACCTTCCATAAATTAACTACAAGAGAGAATACAGATTCTGTCCCATACAGTAAAATGGGCCCTCCTGGATATTTGGTATATTTATGTAACATTTTGATCTTTGATATGATCTTAGGCTTTACAGAAAGTGTAAAGCTGATACAGGACACTACTTGAGTTTTCTGTAAGATTGTTTTATATCACTGCACACTATTTGCAAGCCCTATTAGCTTGTTCTCATTTCGTGAGAACTCTTCAGTGGGGCAACAGGATATAATCAGTTGAAGGTCATAGCCCATGTCTACAAAGAAAAAAAAAAGAGAGCAAAAAGGAAATTGGTTTTAATTTTTTTTTTTTTTAAACTTAAGTCAAGAGAAGTTGGTGATAAGGATTTGGTTGTCCTTGAAAATTTGACCTGATGTTGCAAAAATCAGTTTTTTGCTAATGGTCCTTCATGATCTGCAGTGATAGTTTCAGGTGACAGATGTGGCTACCTTTTTGTGTAATTAGATATTTACCTGAGACAACTAGTAAACACACTGATAATGTGGGGATGGGGGTGTTTTCATGGAGAAAATACCATTTTGTGGCTTATCATTGTAAAGCTTGCTCAACACAGATTTTAAATATTTTTTGAAGGGCCTAGATGTTTAAACTGGGTCACTTAAAAGTAAATTAAATTAATTATTGGCATAATTTCACCTTCTTTTAAAATACAGCCATTTTCTGATAAAACAGCATTCATCTCTAGCAGTATTGGAAACCCATTTCTTAAGTAGATAAATAAATAAATACACTTATTCCTGTGGAATAAGTTAGGCATACCTCTCTCAGGAAAACCATGCTGATATTTCAGGAGAACATTAAAGTCTTATTCAAATAATCCCCGTTTGTATTAAGAAACTTACACAAAGTTAGTTTGACAACTGAACTTCATTGTATTTCGAATTTTAAATTGTAGGTTATCACTGCACATATCTAAAAGTTTCACACAAAAGGTTTTGGAAACAACTTTATTCAGCAATAAAATTTCTTTTAATGTACTGAAATTATATTGTAGAGTTAAAACACCATCAGTATTTGCCATATTCACCTATTTGGTTATTCTGTCACCAGGAAACTTCCATAGCTATGGTCACAAAAAGCAGTGTCAGCAAACGGATACTTCTTTTTCAAAGCAGAATTTTTTTTTTTTACATAGTTAAGGGTCACTAAATCTGTCTTTGCATTCATTGGGTCTAAATTAGGTTGGTGGGGCTTTCTTGTTTTTTTTTTTTTTGTTTGTTTGTTTTGTTTAGTTTTTTTGGTTTTTTTAGACTCTAAATTGACTCACAGATGACTTTGTAGTACTACTGCATTCGCTTTCTAAGTAGTTTTTATTCTTTGCATAGTTTTGTTTTTTTGTCGCGGTTTGGGTTTTTTCCCTGAGATAAGCACTGCATTTAAAGCAAGAATCCCCAAATGTGTAAATGTTTTACAACTAAGCATGTAGAATTGGTGAAGGGTTGGAAAATATAGCTCATTTTAACTCAGAATAAACCCCCAGTTTATAAATAATACAAAATCAAATTTGATTTATATAACAGAGAGAGACTGACTGATTTAATTGTAATGAACTGTAAATGGTGTTGCACAGTTGACAAACCTGTGTGTACTGTAGAAGGCCAGAGACTTGGCAGAGGATGTATCACAGGTGTACTGGTATCTTTTAAAGGTAGCTTGCTTTGATTTTAAACTCCACAAGAAATATTAATGCTGAGAATTTTCTCAAATGTTTTATCCAAGCCAATTTTCACATAATTTATATATATAAATTTTAATACCTTTTAATCAAAATTGTAATGCGTATCAAAATGCTTTAAAAGTCTGTTTCTAGTATACCTGTAAAGTGGTAAGATTGTGCCACATAAAATATTTATTTTTTTTTTTTCTTCTTTTTGAAGCAGCTGTTGTAATTTAAACAAATCCCACTTAACATTATTCTGAAAAAAAAAATTCAGGGAGCGTTTGGTCTCATTTATGTTACAGTAGTAATTTCTTGTAGTGTTATGAACTGTATCCTAAAATATAGGCCACTTTTATTATGTGAAAGTAAATGAACCCACAAGAAAGATTGTTAAATCGATGGTATCTGTGAATATTACATCTACTGGACTTCATTTTATGTAATGGCACAAATCTGACTTTGCACTGAATACCTTTCTCATTTTCATCTCCTCTGCCTTAGTCAAAATGGCAACAGTACAGAAACTTTTATCAACCTCAGAATATAATAGCTCTAATTAAGCTGTTGAATGAGTCTTAAAAAAAAAATAAAAAAATCATACTACTGTTAAGTGGACCAAGTTTGGTGAAGGAGAATGCGAGAGAATGATTAAAGAAGGAATAGCTCAAGAACTTTGGGAATGATAACTTTCCACTTGAGAACTTTTTTATGTTTTACTGTAATTTGTTTGTGGTTTTGGGTTTTATTTCTTTTTTTTTGTTTGTTTGGTTTGTTTTGTTTAATTGTTTTTTCTTTTTTCCTTTTATTGCAAAAGAAAATAGTATTTACAGGTGGCTTCTTTTAAAATATAAAAATATAAAGCAGGAATGTATATGAAATGTCAGATTTTATTGTATTTGCAGAGTATTAGCTTTGAAAATGAATAAAGAGAGCTGTTTGTAGTTTTAAAATGCCTTATTAGTATCAATTAGATATTTTCTCTATTTTTTCATGTACTTAGAGCTTTTTAAGTATAGACTTTAAAATGGCAGGACTTTTACAGTGTTTACATGCAAGTGCATTTTATAAGTGTCCTACATGTGTAAAATAGTATTTCGAATGGGAAAATGCTGGCTATAGTAGCAGGCTGAGCGTTTTCCTGGTTTCCACGATGATGCCTACGTTGCTAGACTACAGTTTAGTACTGCTTTGTATCATGAGGCCAAGAAATTCCATGTTGTTTGTAAATAGAATAAATGAAAGGCAATAAAAAATTTATTGAACAAAAACCCTTTGTTTGGCCCATAGTTTGTTGAACCAAATTGTTTCTCTGGGTCCAGAATTCCTTAGATGACTCCATTCTTTTAACAACCAGTTATTAATAATCACATCCATCATTAATAGTTGCTTTAATGCTTGCACCTGGGGAGGTACTAATGCTTAATAGCAGTCAGATACTGATGCTGTGCACTGACTGTTGTTCCAGATATCTTCTACCCAGTTCAGAAAACTGTTCATCGTTTTTTGTTTTCCAATTTCCTTCATCGACTGCTACTAACCATTAGTCGTTAGTCATATTTTATCTCTATTTCTCCTGTTAACCGGTTTTGTGGGAGTGGGCTTCTCCTTCACGTGTCCAAATCATGATGGAGGGCTGTCATGATTTTATTGCATTCTGTAGATGGTGTCGATCAGTATGTCAGAAATAAACATGCTTGTTTTTTTTATTAGTTGTGATTAGTTTTCATGTTGTCATTAAGCCGTCACTAGCTGGAACTAATCTCTTCTCTATCTTTTCTTTCTTTTTTTTTTTTATTTTTTTGTTTTGTTTTTTTGTTTT